ATAACCTTGGATGAGGTTGTTGTGAAAAAGCAAAAACAACCTTCCCCAACACCCCACAAAAGAAAACCCTTATGCTTTTATTGTTCTATCGAGGATTTATTGTCAAATTCCATTTCAGCGATTCCAGACATCATTATTAAAAAGTGGATGTGGACTCAGAAAAATGTCCCATTGTTATTTTGAGTCAATTGCTCTCACAAAATGTTCTTTGATAAGAATACCAAGAGGACTCCCTGAAGGAGTGGTGCTGGGATCTCTGTTACAGCATCGTGACTCTGAAAGGGACATTCCTGCACAGCAGATGAATCTCATCCTACCAGCCCAGAGAGTAAGCAGGGCTCAGTTCCTAGCAGGCTGTGTTGTGGCTGAGCAAAAACGTCAATGGATCAATGAATAATCAATGCACCCTCATGGAATATTATACTCACGCTCTTTCCTGACTGACCACCGCTTCTGTTGATTTTAACAAGTTTAGTATTGCAGGGTGGGATTCATTCACTCCGACTTCACCTATCTGCAATGCCAATGACTCATCTAATCTCTTTGGATACCTATTTTAGAACGAGATGGCTCAAATCCTAGATGTGCTTATTTCTCTTCATTGATCATAAGGGGAGTCCAAACAGGTAGCTCAGATATGGCAGGGCGTTGGACTAGGTGATCTTTAAAGATCCCTTCCAACCCAAACTGTGCGAGACCTCGGCTGGTCCAAGGGATCAAAATACAAGTTTAACACTGACCCTGAACAGATACCCGTGTACCCTTGAGGAGACAAAAGAATCCTGAGAAGATCCGAGCAAACAAGTGAAGGGGTGGCAAACATCCTGGCTTTTCCCAGAGCATGAACAGTGCGTGATCAACAATTGTATTGGCTGAATGGTGTGTGATGTGAGAGTGGATTGGGCAAAAGTAGAATGTTAGAATATATGCACAGATAAGCAACCAGCTAAGAGGATATAAAACAGCACTGCTTGTAAAATAGGAGGACGATTGCTGAAACTGGATATTTGAGTGTCGTGTCCGTCTCTACAATGACACCAAACCATTCTGTGATTCTATGAGATGAATTTCTACTGTAGAACTGTAGAGTTCTGCATGTGGCTGGGTGAATCCCATCCAGATAGATTTATCTTTGTTTCATGCTTGGTATTTTGCTGTTTCCATTGAAAAACAGAGGAGAAAACTTCAGGAGGCTACAGAACGTTTCACGTAAATAAGTTTTGCAACTTCAAAGGCAGTGGGCCTGTTTTAGAGGTAAACCCACTGCAGCAGCAAGTTGGTAATATTCTGAATGACTTCATTGATTCAATCCCGTTTAAACAGTCATGGTAGCATATAGTCGTAGTACTTTATTTTTATTCCTTAGAGCATTAGGAAATAAAGACAAATTGCCTAAATAAACAGAGGAACTATTCACCTTGCTCCAGATGAAACTCTTGTGTCAAAGTTCTTCACTGAAGACAACATTTTGCTGTTGAATTTAATGGCATCACAGTTTTAACCAAAAAGTTTGTTGTGTCATGCATCATTATGTTAACACAAAAGGAGAATATTTTGAGGGCTGTATCCAAAGTGTTCAAGTACTATGATTATATGCTACCATGACTGTAGGAAGGGCCACAATCCCTTCAGAGGTATACCTGCTACAGCACAAACATAACCATGGCCACAGATGCTTTGAGATGTACATGGTCTGGTGTGGACTTATTCATGGCCACAGATGCTTCAGGGTGTCCTGCTCCTGTGTGGACTCATCCACAGGTCACAGTCCCTTTGACTCGAGTTCACACTGGAGTGTGTGAAACCCCTCCTGTCCAGTATGGCAGCACAGAAGCAGCAATGCCTCGGCCATCTGCCAGCCCAGGCACATCGCCATTGCCGTTATCAAAATGTTCTCAGGCACAGTAGAGTAAGAGGGTGCGCAATACCGCAGTACAGCAAGCAGCAAAAGCAAAAAGCAGCCTCTAATGAGAGCTTGACTCTAATATACAGTGAGGCAATCAAGCCCCATGGCAAGCACAGAAGCCTGCTGGTTAATAACCAAATAGCAGTAACAGCTATAAATTCAATATCTAGCACATTCCAATCAAATCTTTCATTATCTTGTACTCTCCAGGCCCCACACTGGGCACCAAAGAAGGACTGTCGTGGTTTAGCCCCAGCCAGCAACTAAGCACCACACCGCGGTTTGCTCACTTCCCCCGTAGCAGGATGGGAAGGGTAAAAGTGAGAAAACTCATGGGTTGAGATAAAAAACAGTTTATGTTTGAATATTGAAATAAAATTTGAAATTGAAATTGAAACAAAATTGAAATAAAATAATAATGGAAATAATAAGTAGTAGTAGTAGTAATAGTAGTAGTAGTAGTAATGAAAAGGAAAATAACAAAGATAGAGAAATAAAAACCAAGAAAAACAAGTGATGCATATGAAAACAATTGCTTACCACCAACCAATTGATGGCCAGGCAGTGCCCAAGCAGCAGCCCTCCCCCCCCCTCCCCTTGGTTTTATTGCTGAGCATGATGTCGTATGGTATGGGATATCCATTTGGTCAGTTGGGGTCAGTTGTCCTGACTGTGTCCCCTCACAACTTCTTGTGTACCCCCAGCCTTTTCCCTGGCAGGGCAATGTGAGAAGCAGCAAAGTCCCTGACACTGTGTAAGCACTACTCAGCAGTAACTGAAACATCCCTATATTATCAATACTGTTTCCAGCACAAATTCAAAACATAGCCCCGTACTAGCTACTATGAAGAAAATTAACTCTATCCCAGCCAAAACCAGCATACCAGGCTGTAGACAACCAGAATTGACATGTAGGAATACCTTCCTTTTATACATCTGTCCCCCCTCCCGAGAAGATATAGGATTGGATTTGTGTCCAAGCCAGCGTACGTTGTGCCAACCTCGTGTCAATGTTCATCACAAATCCCTAACAGTAATACTCAAGTTTACAGCTGCCTGAAGCTAACTACTTCTGGTTGCAAGGGTGAGCTGTAATTTCCCCTTCATGTCTATCCATTAGGCATCCACAGCTCTGAGCCCCCTCTCTATGGGAGACCCTCTGGTCCTTTGTTCAAAGACAACATTCCTTCTCACGGGAAGGAGTAGAAGGAAGAGGAAGATACAATTCTGTCTGCTTTTCACCCTTCTACTCCCAATTTGTTCTGTAATGGTAATCCAAGAGTCCAGCTGCCATCCCATGATCTGGGTGATTCAGGCTCTGCTCCCAGGATTTCAAATCACGGGTAAGATACGCACAGGAAAAAACAGTCTGCGGAAGAGGAGGAACCAGAAGCCAGTGTTTCTCCTTCCAGTGAGTACGGCTGGGTTATGGAGTCATGCTTTTCCTCTGGGCCAAGAAAGTTTGAATTCTTCTGGCACAGTCTCTGAAGTTCAGCAAAGGGAATGGCAAGTGCCAGAACTGTCTGGTAGTGAGATGACTTTCCTGCGAGACACATGAATTTCTGAAAGCAGCTCTCACTGCTTGGGTTAATCGTCAGAGGGCTCAGGAAAGGGTGGGAGATGGGACAGAAACTTTTCCTCTGGATGTGTTTTAAGAGAAAGTGGTTACTGCAGATGAATTTTAACTGAGCCCAATCCTGTCAGCATAAGGCAAGGACAAAGGTCTCTGCTCAAGGAAAGCTTTTAATGTATTTCTAAGGAACAGTTGCACGGCTCTGTCAAGACGGGAGCAGTCTGGGTGTGCTTTGAGACAGTCGTGGGCACTTGAGAGGTCTTAAAGTAGACGAGCATTGTACGTGGTTTTCTCTTCAGAGCAGCTGACTGAAGGCATTTAAAGCCGCTCCTAAAGATGAAGATGGGGTCCCAGCAGGGCTGGTGAAAACTGCTAGCTCCCAGCGCACAGCAGTGAGGCCATCGGCATGCTGTGGAAAACAGATCCCTATGGGCATTGTTAGACACCCTCATACCTTTAAAAAATCTGCTCCCTGCTGCCATTTACTTTCTGTCGGGGAGCCACCTGGACCAGCAGCTCCCCTGAGACCAGGCAAGGCAGGGCTGTGGGGAGCTGGAGACAGGCCCTGCTCCAGAATCACTGGGACAGGGGCTGATGGCCCTGAGGGGCTGACAGGGAGTCCTGGGCTGTGGGCAGGGTGCAGGGAACCCTGGGGGGGCTGGGCAGGGACAGTCAGGGCTAGGGGTGCCTCCGGGCCCCAACACTTGCAAGCACTGGTCAATCCAAAGGCAGATTTGCTTTATATTGCTGCCGCTCCGTTCGCAGCCATGCCTTCTGCTGTCCACCCACTGCTGGGGAGGCCACCGCTCGCCTTCGCCGCTCTGGGTGAAGCCTCACCCCCATGACTTCTCTCTCGCCTCCACATGGGCTTGGATTTCACCCTCGATGCATATTTGCAAAACACGTGCCACTAAATCCAAGTCCCGAATGCAATCTAAGCATCGTTTGGGCCTGAGAGTGACCATCTCAGCTGTCAGGGTATTGATTTATACTGCCCTGAAGGGAAATGCGGCTTTCCTATTTGGATGAAAGTCAGTCCCTGTGCTTCTCACAAGTAAAAAAACCCTGACCGTATATACCATATCGAGTGTCAAATGGACCTGCCCCACAAGCAAAGCTGCCTGTGGGCATGTGATTCCCCGGACCAGTCAGCCACCACAAGATCATTTGCAGCTGTTTAGGGTGACTCTGCTTCGGGTGGCGTAACACCCATGTGGACACACTGCGTGGTGAACTTGGAATCTCAACACGTCTTGAAGGCTATCTTCAGACAAAATAAACTCCTCAGAAACACAAACAAAGACGTTTATTGCAAATAAAAATTCACATTCACATCATTAAATGTTATGAAGGAGGTCATTTTGCAAATTGTGAAGCGTCCGTGTGCACGAGGGCTGCCGTTTTCATCAGAACAGCTGCCTGGGACATGCATATATTTATCTGAATGTGCCAAGCCAAATATCCCTCTATCTACAAAGGTTTTGATTTGGCTGGTGACATCGTTCTGACACTTCCACAGTTTCATTTTCTCTGGATCTGGCAGTAGAGGCTCATAGAAAACCCCAAACCAAGAATCTGGAAAACAAAGACATTTCTGGTATTACTTGGCAGTCCTGGAAATCCCAGGATACAACTGATACACAGTGGGAACATTTTGTTTGCAAATGTCTTGGATTTACATGCAGGCTAAGTCTGCTATGCAGAAGATCTTTTCCAATGTAATTCTTAAAGAACATGACTCTAGAATATAACCATTTTAATGAAATCTGCAGGTAAGACTGCAGACATGGTGGAAAACTTTCATTTGTTTAAAAGATGGATTGCCTCTGTGGATGGGGAACCCCGTAACTCTTGAGGTTTGAAATGCAGTTGTTAGCTGCAATGGAGCAGCAAACACTGAGAAGTTAAAGAAATTTGGACAAAACTTCAGTCTTTTATTTTCTAAGAAAGTTGGAGGAACTTTCTGATTCCATTGCCTATTCTAAGGGCTGTTTCCCTTTGAAATCTCTCTTCCACTGTCACTCTCTTTTGTGTAAATGTATGTGTAAAGGCATACATGTATAAACAGGCATACATCTACACACATACCCCACTGTTTTGAGTAGCAAATGATCATGCAAAAAGTATTTTATATTCATCCCTAATAGATTTGGGATAGAAACACTGAGTCCACTAAAGAAGCTGTTGCTTTAAATATAAAATTCAGTAGGGTCACCTTCTGTAGTGGGAATTACTGGGTGAAATTCCACAGCCTGTGGACAGCTGGTGAGATCAGAAGATTGGAAAACTTCCTTCCGGATTTAAAATTAACCAGTCTGTGAAGGTGTTTCACAAAAGTGGGAAGTATCCAAATGACATTTATGAAGCCATGAACACAAGGATGCTTCATTTATTTAAGGAAGAGACAGTGGAGAGTGTACAGAACACAGGGATACAGCTAAGATGAGGGGATGAACTCACAGCTGGATTAAGCTGACAGGGCTTCCCTGACATACCCCCATTTTCACTTGTGCACAAGTGAAATTAGGCCTTTCTTCTCAGTATCATTTCCACTAACAGGGTGAGCCAAAACCATTAACAGCCCACAAGTGGCATAACGCGGCAGGCAGAGGGGGGGAACGCTAGAGAAGAACACTTTTCCTTGTCCACTTTTTATCTGGGGTTTTCCAGAGCAGCGAGATGGTTAAGCATGTGGCCTTTGATCTGCAATTACTTGAGAAGTCATAATATGTCAATAGCTTTGGAAAGGCTAAATGTTTATCAAGTATAAATTTCCAGCTGACAATTTGTACCATCTGAGGCTCATATTGTTTGTTCATGTTGTTTTCTAATCCTTTTATGATTGGGAGAGGCAACCACCACAGAAAATGCCAACTGGAGAACAGGGAAGAATGATGGCCAATGAACTAAAGGCTACAACTCGTAACTGCAGTAACTAGAGCAAAGTGACTTATAACTTACCTTTGGGACACAAGATGCAATTTTACACTTCTGTTTTATTTTTAAAGGCCTTTTAATATTGGTGTATTTCACCTATTTCCCCCCCAAAGTCTACATATAGGCGAGAGACCTGACCCCCCACATATAGCACCTTAAATAACATGAAGCCTGTGCCAAACGAGAAGTTAGTGGCCTGTCCTCTCCCAGTGCTGCAGCTGCGTAACTCTTCCCAGCTTACTATTATTTTCCTGGAAATGTATTTTCGAGTTGGGGCTCTTGCCCACTCTTCTACCACGAGTAGCAATCCTCTGCCAATGATGTTAAGAAGTTTTCATTCGGAATAACAGACTGAACTCTGCACAGCAATCTTCGTCATTTCTGCTTTTGCCTCAAACATCCATTGGTGGGGGGCAGGGGAGGAGGGAAACCACAGAGGAATAGTGAAAAGAAAGAAAATGACTGAAGAAAGCAACATGATGAAACCCCCTGTTTCTTTGTCATTTTCTCCTAATCAAAGGCTATCATTCATCAAGTAGCTGACTGGATAACCTCACTGTTTTTCCTGCTTTCTTCAGAGAAAATTTTGCGTGTTATTCTTCACTGTATGATGAAGCAATTAAAATAAAAAGCTCACATACTCTGCCTTTTTTACACACAGGAATATATGGAGCGGCACAGGTGTGCACTCAGGTACATTCACGCAACATCCTGATGGCTAAATTATGCCTCAGAATAATAATTTTTTACCATAATTTCTCTGTGATTGATAAGAATATGCAGTTAAGTTTTCTTATGAGGTGATGTTTTCCTCAAGCAAAGAAGGGAAAGAGGAGGAAAGGATCAGCTATTCTGCCCCGTGTTTTCCTGGGGCTGCATATCCGCACACCCTTCTGTCCGCAGGGCTCACTGTCATGGCGCAGCCTGGCTCCAGGACTGTCAAATCTTTGCAGAAAAAGTGCCATGTGATACACTTATACAAGGCAGCAGGGTGGTCCGATACCATCTGAAGTTCGCAGCTCAGCAGCCATATACTGTTTATATGAAATAACAGTAAGATTATAGCTAAGGTGAGAGGTGGTGTTCCCTTGTCTATTAATTGAGCAAGCCAGGTGTTTTAATCCCATTCCCAGTGCATTTCTAAGTAGAACATATTGCTTCTTAGCTACTAAACATTTTAATGGTGTATACTGGTACCTCAATAACGGCCAGTCCGAAGGCAATCCCCATAATTATGAGCAGATGGTCTTTAAGGAATTCCATAATCACTTCTTTGCAAGGCTGAAAAATAAGACAAAATGAATAATTATAGGTAATCAATATTGTCCTAAGGCTATTAGGAATGCATCCTCTAAAATAACTCCTCTCTCTCTCTCTCTGTGTTAAAGAAAGGCTATTTGAATTTTCTCTGCTTTATTGGTAACAAACACAAAGAACGCAGTTATAGATAGCTTGTGCTCTGAGAAAGATATCTAGATTTTACCTTCCTAAATATGAAGATGAATTTAGTAGCTGACTATGAAAGGGTACAATTTCAAATGAAGACATAGAGCTGTAATGCCTAATGTTTGCACGATTTTCAGTTGACAAGGAAAGAAGCATTTACGCTTACTTTCACTTGGTAATCATTTGCTGTTAGGAAAGAGCCAATGCAGCAATGACCTGATTTGAAAGAAAACTTCAGTTTCCCACTAATCTGATCTTTGGATTTGAAACTTCAAAGCCTAATATTAGAACCAGGCTCAACTATCAATATTTGGATATAAAACCTAGCTTAAATATTAATTTTGACAAATGTTTGGTGGTCTCGAGCCGGGGCTGGGAGGAAGAGAGTGATCATATGTGATGTTCTAAGCAGAGCTACTCTCCTTTTTAATAAATGCATACATCTGTTCTTATAATGACTACATCTTCTCTAAGCATTGACAATACTCCTTTTGCAAACTGTAGGGAAAGCCAAGTACAGCTCAAATCCATCAAAACTACAGTACTGTTCCAACACTACAACTGCCTTCCCCCCAAATATAATGCGTAGTTATATTTCTTCACCATATTTCCTCCCTCACAATGGGTCTTCTCCTTCCAGTCCTTCTAAAAAACCAGCTTAAAGCTGACTCAGAACTGCACTGAATTTCAAATCTTTTTTCCTGGATCAGAAGAGTCGAATGTCTTTACCAGCATCTAACACCACCATGAAATCTGCGTGTTCATGTGAACGATATCTTGCACCTGCAGTAATTTCACTGATCGCTTCTCATGTGTCCTTTGAGGGTTTGCTTGAGGCCAAAAAGACATTAAAATGTGGCCAAAACAGCCTCTTTGTATACATCTTATTTCCAGATTGGGTTCTGGCATCCTCTACTTAACCAGACTGTTCCCTTACTTTAAAACAGTATTTGCTTCTGTGGGACTACACAGGGAGGAAATTAGTGTTCAGGCAGGACCTGGCTAAGGAGCTATGCATTTAGAAAAGCATACAGCCAGATTTGGACATTTGCTAAAATCTACTTTGTGCTAGGTGCAGACTGGCAAACTTTGTACCACCAGCATTCTAAAAATGCAGCTATTTTGTGCTAGTTTTCCAAATTGTTTTTGGTTTTTTTTCCATATTTTTCTTAGTATGCATGGAGTCCAAATTTCCATATAAAGAGACAGATAAATCTTGAAATTAGTTAATTGAGATCTCTGCTGTCCACCTACCAGTTTTTGAGTGTGCTCTCTTGTTGCCTGTCACCAGACATTTTTGCCTTATTATTATGTTAACTGCCACAAGCTTCTCAGAAGGCTGTAGTTGTAGGAAACTACACTCTGAGTATGCTGCCGTGAAGCCTACAACACGCAAGGTTTCTTTCCAGCAGATCCTGCAAAATGAGTGTGGGATTTTTTACTGAAGGACTATAAAACACCAAAGGTCTTGCATTCAGTGTGTTCGATTTTCAATATCCCTTAGCCCTTTGAAAGCCTCTGAGTCAACATGTCCACCACCAGAGTGAGCCTGAGTGGGAACATAACCTTCAGATGGAGGAACGAGAGCCAAAGAGTAGCTGACATGCTCTTCTTACTCTGAGGCATACCCTAACCCCAAAGCCATAATAGTTTTCCCCCACAGTAGCCATGCAGACTGCTATGGTCCCAAGGGTATTGCAGTGCACGGCTAAGATAGAGGCAGCCCAGGAAGAGGAAGCAGCAGCGTGTTTCATGTATGCACAGTAATTTCATAGCACAGGGGCAATTCTGGCTAAAGAAGAGAAGGTAAAATTTTGCCTTTTTGGAAAGATACAGAACTGCTGACTATGTCAGTCACCAAAGACAACCTTGGGTTAAAACCTCTTTTTGGAAAGAAGAGTGGAACATTATGGTTTTCTTACCGTTTTATAAACAGGTCTGCCTCCAAAAGTCATGCAGAGGTTTGATTGTTGGTCCTTTGGTTCACACTCACAGGCTTTATGGCCACCAAAATCAGTATTAAAATTTTTTCCCCAGTCTGAAGGTCCATTCAGCAAACCGCAGCACTGGTGCTGCAAAAAAAGGAGGAAATGGGGAGATGAGGAAAAAAGTGGTGATTTGCAGTTTGAGGAGAGTAGGGGAGGGAGCTGAGAGGAACAACAAAGGAGAAATTTCATTTCATCTTTTCCCATGTGAAAGTTTTACCAAATTGGTATGTCTCAAATACGCTTTACATTTCCATACCAGTTATAAGAATGGAAGTGCAGAAGAGAAGTTTAAAAAAATAAGGGGGGGGGGGAGGAAGACCAGACTTTCAGTATACAGTGTTCAAAAAACATTAATGAACTATAAAGCTAGTAATTGTCAGTGCCAGAATAGAACTGGAACATTGAACAACACTGGCTACAGTGTTTTGTGAGAATCAAGTCTTCTTTCTGCAGGTTATGCTTGCAGAAGGTAAGTAACAGCTCCAGTAACATCAACATTTCACATCTTGAAAAGCCAGGCTGAAAATGTAATGTTCAGGCACCTAAAACTCTGAAATCTAGAAAAATAACCACCTTGGATGATGGTTAGCCATTTAAATTAGAAATGGACTGAGGAGGCCAGGGCTCCATTTGGGGTTTGTGAAACCTAAACCAGGTGCAGTTTCACTTCACGTTCCACTTTATTCACTAAAGCTCAGGGGTGCAGACTTGGGTTTGAGGTCCTTCCTCTTTTAAAAAGCAGCTGGAAATGTTCATGTAATTTTGTATAAAAGCAAAGGCCGTGGGACATAATAAAGCAATCCTGGTCTATTTAAAAATTAATACAGTAATTATGGGATTTTTCATTTTGCTCACCCTTCAATCATCTCTCCAGGGAGCTGCTTATTATATCAGAAGAAATAATCTGGCTCAGAAGCAGAGGACAGGGCTGGAGGTGGAATGGGGAAGGAGAAGCGGAAGTAATATAAGCCACCCACATATTGTTTCTTGCTCCTTTTTTTTCCGCACCAGCAGCCTTTAAAAATATAGGAATTCTTTAAGCCTACCCATCAAAGTCATCACCCATTAGGGACTAAAGAAAAATAACGGCAGCACCCTGGCAATGTATAGACACAGTGGGAGGATCTGGAGTCTACACCATCAATGATACCAGTGAGATTCGACGGTATTCTTGGTGTGATACCAAGGAGGAAGCTGGCACTAAGTGTTCACCTTCTGGGGTCCTGCAGGTGGGGGAAGCCAGGATGGATACAAGTAAAGTGAAAACAAATCTCCCTTTTAGCATATTTTCTTCCCCCTTCTTACACAGTAAAGTACGGAATTTAATGAATTCATAGCAATAGGATATTCCCAATGAAATACACTCCTGAAGTTTTCCTTGTCCCTGGGGTAATCTGGATATTTCTTAGCTGGGATACAGGGAAGGAGCAATGTTCCTTCAGAAAGGAAAGCTGTAACAAAGGAGCAGGCAACCTTCTCATGAAAGAGCTTAGCTGTCAGTCTCACTTCTGCGTTGTGTGTCCTTGCTCCATTGCTCTCATAAACACTATTGCACAAAGAAATCATCACAGAAAGCCCATGTCACATCAAGGGAGCAGAAGCCCTTTGTGTAGTGTTTTCACTTGCATTTAAGTCAGACCCTTCCCCATCCCCAGGGAATGAAATTCAAATCTGCAGCAGAGTAGCCATAAAATGAAGCATAGATAAATGCTAGGGATGGAACAGATAGGAACAACCCCTGCCCTTCATTACATTTTAATTACCATTCTCTCAAACTTCTGGAACTTCTCTTGAAACACTTTAGCTTCTTCTGTAGTGTTTTGCAATGAATTCACATTCTCCAGGAGCGTCTTGTTAAGGGATGTTTCAATCTGCAAGTCCAAATATTTTATTAGTTTTTGGGGTAGAAACAAAACTCTGGGAAGACATCAATGAAAATGCAGAATAATACTGTACCTGAGATCTGTACACTGCTCCTAAAATACCTCCTGTGACCTGAAGGATCAGGATCAGAAGCAGTCCAATAAAAAACTAAGAAGAAAAAACAAAAGAGGGAGAAAACTATAGTACTTTTGACAAATATGATATAATTTCTTCTAAGTGAATGTTAAGCTTTCATGTGCTTGAATAACAATGTAGGTAGAATGAACTGAAGTTCCAGTCAGAGCTGTTCCAGTTACTCCTTCTTTGGCGATGAGAAAAGGGAGTGCTTGAGACAGACTGTGTTCAGCTGATGGTCAAAGCAAGGTGCCCATCAGACTAGTGGCATGATAGGCAGTGCATAGGTGAGGTGTTGGGCAGGAGGACAGAGAGGACGTTCTAGGAGGACCAGCAAAGGGAGCAACTGGGAATTTATGAAATTAAATGTGGTAGGTAGTGGGGGAGGACTGGTGGAGGGAATTTCAGTGATGGTTGGATGGAAAAAAAAGCTAGTGACATGCTCAGGGCTCTCTGGACCCTGTCTTCTTCTTGATGAGACCACCCATCATTTTTTCTGCATTAGCACAAGGTAAGCAATGAAAGCACATGATCATAATCAAGAATTTCATTAAATAGAAAGGCCCCATCCTCATTTGATAGTGCTTGCAAGGACCTTATCCATCAAATGTAGCTGGGGCATGTCAAAGGTAGCTAAATGTTCTTTCCTACCAACAGCAGCATGCACCGGCTCTCCTTTATGGCACCACAGCAGCCCAGAAACCCAAGGACCATAATGATGGAGCCCACGGCTATCAGCAGATCAACCCCTGCAAACAGGCTGCTGTCTATCTCCAGCTCCTGAAAAGAAGGGGAAAAAAAAATCTCAGCTACCAGAAGCTTCTCCTAAAAACATCTGTATCCCCAAAACCAAGAGAATTCTTTCATAATTGACAAACATACTGATTAGCAACCATGGAGATACACTCATCCATAAATAAAAAAACCTCTAATGCCCCCTTCTTAAACATTTTGTTGGGGTGCTCGGTAGAACCTGGCTTTTCTCAGTCTTTGTCTCTGCACAAGATGAAAGTCAACTTTACAGAGTAAATAAAGATCTCTTGTCTTTAAAGTGGCTTTCAGTCAGTTTTCAGTCGATGAATCTTTGCTTTTTACTGGAAGTAGCAAAATTGATTATCTCAAAATCTCTCCTACATTAACCAAATGTTAAAGAAACAAAACCTCTGTTTGTCATTAGAAGGCCAGGAACATATTCTGTGGCTGTTCCTGAGAGAACACTTCTCAGACTGATGCTGGATATACTAGAGAAATAGTTAGATGTATTTTCCAAAGCAATTTTCTTTTTTTTTCTTTTTAGGCATGATCTCTAATATTACCCTCAGAGATGAGGACTGTATTTTGATGTGTGGGACATTCAACTAAACAATTCGTATACCTCAATATTATTAAATATCAAATTATTCAGTTCCCACAGGACTGACTAAGGCCAAAGGCCAAAATAGAGAAAATGTTCAAAGAATATTTTCCAGCGTGGCTGGTGCCAAGATTAGCAAAAATGTCTGGAAGTTGTCACATTTATCTTCTGATGGAAATTGCAAAGGTATATAGACATGTATAATTTGAAGAATGTGTTGTTCTTTCCCTTTCCAAGTTGGACTGAACCTCCTGTTACTTATTCTTAGAAAGCTCTATTCATCTACAGCCAAATCCTTACGGTCTGTTCAATTATTACTCAGGCAAAACATACATTGGTTTTGAATGGGAACTTTGCCTGCCTTGAGGCAGAAATGTGAGAAAATGCTTTCAGTTTTGGTCCCTCATCTCAGTTTACAGTTTTGGGGTACTACTAAGCGTCACTTCAGGAAACCAGTTTGGGACACACTTAAGTATGCTTTTCTGAATAGGAAATCGATCAGAAAATAAGAAAGGATAATAGTGACCATGGTTTTTCCAGCTCCCGTGAACCATCTGAGCCATCATACTAGAGATGGTCAACCAGCAAGTATGGCAATTTTAGCTTGCTGTAAAATGTTGATTGAGGAGTGGCAGTTGTCATTCTTCCTCTTCCACAGCAGAGAATGGCAGAGCTCTCCCCGATGACCTAATTTACCCCATGACATGACATCATTATGAACTGAGTTCTGTTACATCCATCCTCTGCCAGACATGAGACATCTGGGACTGGCTAAGGGCAACGGTGTCATCAGCCAAATGGCAGGAAATATATAAAGCTATCTTCTTATCTCCACCATATTTTTATTTCCAGATAGGAAAATACTGACTCAAAAATTATTGTTCTTAATTGACGGACTGCAGTAGGGCAGCAGAGGAATGATCCGAAGATTTACAACTTAATCTATAATAAAGGCTCAATCTGAAAGCTGAAAAAAAAACCGCTGCTGTGTCACACCTAGCCATTTTTTCACTTCTATGGCCAGAAAGCCTTTTTGGAAATAGAAGTATGAAAATTAAATTTTCAAAGTCATTTACATTGCTATAACCCAAACTCACAAGAAGCAATACAATGCTTAAAACTTACAGTCAGCTTGTTCTTCCTGTTGGTGTAACAAAGCACCAACACACAAAGATTGCAGAGTGCCTTTCAGAGAAGTGTCTACGAGCTGTGAAATCAGCTTGAATCACGGCTGGCGGAAAACATGCTGTGAGTCAGGGCCAGGGCCACGGGGACCACACTTGGCAAAAGGTTGGCAGGGCCCACAGGGCCAAAGGACCTTTGCACCAAAAGGACCAGCCTCTGCTGCCTGTCTGCAAGATCAAGAGCTCCTCAAAATGGTATTTTCCCTAGCTTTGCAGAAAAGGAAATTCATAAAGTCTGAAGTAATTTAATAACGCAGATAAAATCCAGGAGGGCAACTCAGGGGCTTTCTTCTCCCCCCTCCAGGAGGGCTGTTGGGACATTTTAATCCTAAGTAAAGATTTTTGGGTCTCTCAAACTCTTTCTATATAAATATGAGGGGAAAAGGATAAAGTGCTTTTAAGGAGCCACTGAAAATCGAAGGGAAAAATCCTTGCTCATTTTCAAAGTTGCAGTTACTGGGGAAACAAGAATTGTGTTATTGAAGATAGCGAGAAAGGTACAAATATTCCCTACAAACACATGGAAGTAACCC